GTCCACAGTGAAAGTTATTTCTCCCTTGTTTTTATCTATGGGCATCTCCTTCCCAGCCATCTCATTCTGTTGTTGTAGGGGCCTGATCCAGTCAAGTACAGGTAGTGCTGGGAGCACCACAGAAAATGGATGCTCCAGAGCACAAGTAAGTTGTGTGGCACAAGGAAGAAAGGCCACCCATTCCCTGCTGTCTAGGATTTTTAAAAGTTTATGCATTCCAGATGTTTCATTCTTGAAATAATGCTTGAATTTTCTGCTAAGTTCTGAGTTCAAATGTTGGCCATTGGATTTCAGTATCCTGCCACTTATGTTCCCTCCTGTAAAAATGACTTCCTCATGCTAGATCTGCTCACTCTATTACTGTCAGATTATTTTTTCTTGGAAGTGACAAGCTCAACTTTTATGATTGAGAAAAGAAAAAGTCACTCACCTGAGTAATGTAACAAGCAACCAGCTACCATCCATTTTGCTCTTGTTTGCTATGCTGCTTGCAGTTTGTGAAAAGAGTTTTCCCCTTAAGGCCAATGTGTTGTTGGTTAATCTATTGCTGAATTTTGTGGTTTGTGCTTTGCAGCAAATTAGACACCAAGTCTGAAATTTGTGCAACTGTAAAATTGCAAATCAAGCCCCAGAGTTTTGGGCCATCTTTATTCATCATATTTTACTTCTTCAGTCAACATTATTACTAGTTAATAGGTGCACCTGTAAATCAAGCTGCATTGTATACTTGATATGTTATGTTAAACGAATCTTTTCTAGGGCAGCAAGTCTATTTTTTCTAATGAAGAAGAATACCTCATCTTTCCCAATTTTCCTATCAAACACATCCACATCATCTTGAGGCAGCACCACAACCAGCTGCATCGATCCTCCGCTTCAATTACATGAAATTATCCAACCTACTCCCGGGTCCTTTAGGTTTTCTTTGCTATATGAGGCACCCGCATAGTGCATCTCTTGTGAAGTGCATGATTACAAACTATTCAACACAAGCCTGTTTTAAGTAAACAGTAAATTCAATATTGTCAGGGCTTGTTCAAGCTTGCTTTCATGAAAGGAACTTCTAGAAAAGGTTGCATGAAAAGTGAAGCTTTAAGAAAAGTAGCTGCACAAAAGCACCCTTTCTTTTGGGTGCTTGACCCAGTTTATATTTTTGGCTTCATCTAATTTCCATCTTTTGTACTACTTGCCTAATAATACTAAAATGCTATTTTTGTGGGCTACCTCAGTTTTAAATGTGAATAAGCGCAGAAAATCAAAATGTTTAGTTTCCTAAAATATAAAAAGTAGTTTTATTTCTATATGAGAACTGGCATGCCAGAAAATAAAAAATAGTGTAGCATGGGTGTTGAATATTGCCATCGTTTTGAGTCTTTCAGGGATAATTCCTTTGCGTGATAGGGTAAATAGGTACGAAGAAGGACAGAATCCTTATATCTTAGGTTATTATGTTAAAAAATAGAAATCAATAAGAATAGTTTTTCCTGCCATGATACAGTAAACTGACCCTGACCAAATTCCACCTTCTACCCAGATTTTGAATGTGAAAGTCCCGTCCTACCACAGCATATTATTAGACTAAACCCCACTGACAAATCAGCAGATAAGATTGTAAGGTAGGTGCTTCCATAGGAAACTAATAGAAAATTATATAGAAGCAATTGGTTTTTGTTTTTTCGTTTAAGTGGTTTGAATCTGACAATTTGAATTTTGGTATTTTATAGTATAGAGTGCAATCCTAGGCATGTTTTGCAGAAATAAGCCAAACAATCTCCAGTAGGAAATTATAGGACATTTTCTGTCTATACCTACATAGATGGTGCACTTACTGATGTCTGAAGTTCTTTATATTAAGTTTTTCTACATGGAAACTTTTAAAAGAGATAATTTACAGGATACCTCAGTCTTCTTTCACAATGCAAAGGATAAAGATGAGATAGATGTATGCATGGTGATCCAAAACAAGTCATAAGGAATCTAATAAAATATTGTTTGAATTGTTGTAAATTGCCCAGAAGGTTTGGCTATGAAGCAGTATAGAAATGAAATAAATAGTGAAATCATACTGTAAAGTGCCAGTAATAGTAATCACGTTATGGTATTACCATTTTGATTGTTTGGTAATGGGTAATCCCTATATAATGAATTGTGGTCTAATAAATGGTGAGCAAGTTGAGGAGCAACAGTTATGGAAGTCAACTTCATTATGCATGACTATTTGTGAACAATTATAATATAAACAGATAACAGATGACTGCTATTCCTAGGTTTTGCGATTTGAACTCTGCTACCAGCTTTTGCATCTGATCCACATATAGGCAAATATAATGAGTTCAGAGATAATGTCTTCTTTCTGGTGCAAACCCTAGTTAATTCCAAATAAACTAGGATTTAGTTTGGTGGACCACAAAATAATGCAGACATGCATGTATTTCTACTGAATCTCAACTTTTCTTTGTGAAGAAAGATCAACATCACTTATAACAAATGATGATCAGATAATTTGTTTTATTACAGCTGTATATATTCCTACAGTTAAAAATTTCTAGATAATTCACAGTAATTAAAGCATACAATACAACAAAAATACATTATGAAGGTTTAGAAGTTTAAACCTATGATATAAAACACATGAATAAAGGTATAGATGGAAAGAGATGATCCTTCAAGGTAACCTGGCTGGAAGCTGCTTTGGGCTTTGAATAGTAATACAATCATTCTGAATCAGTCTCAGATATGGATTGGCAGCCAGTCCAGATGATGAAGTACTGGCCTAACGTATTCATCTTGGCCAATTCCCATGAGCAATCTCACTGCCCTGTGTTGAACCAGCAGAAGTTTCTGAACTGTTTTCAAAGGCATCCTCATGAGTAGTGCATTGCAGTAATCCAGAAATTGCCAGAACATGGATAACTGCAGCTAGGCTATCCCTGTCCAGAAAAGGATGAGTTGGTATATCAGCCTAAGCTGATAAAAGGGGCACCTGTGCCTCTATGAAGAAAGCTGGATTCAAACCTCATCTTTTAGTGCGGGTCTCACTCTCATTAAACAGGCTGAATATCAGTCTTATAGGTAGGCAACCACCAGCTAATCACACCTTTGTCTTGCCTGGACTGAATCTCCATTTGTTAACTCTCATCTAGTCCAATACAATACCAGAGCATTAAATCAGAATAGCAACCTCCTCACTTTGGTTTGGTAAAAGAAGAGAGAGAGAGAGAGAGTGCTGGATATCATCTGCATGCTGCTGAAACCTAAGCTCTCCCTTCCAAGTAACCTCCCCTAGTGGATTCATGTAGAGGTTAAGCAGGATGGGGAATAGAGTCCCATGGAATCCCCTTGGTAAAGCTGACAAGGCACAGAGCTGTATTCTCTCAGCTCTGCCTTCTGGAATCAGCCATCCAAGTAGGTGAGGAAACATCACAATGCAGTTCCTCCAACTCCCAACCCAAACAGCCTATCCAGAAGGATACCATGATCAGTGGCATCAAAAGATGCTGGGAGGTCCAAAAGTATCAAAGGAGGTCCATGTCTGTCTCCCAACAGAAGCCATCCATTGAAGGCAGTTTCTATTCAAAAAGCAGACCCAAAGCGTGACTGAAATGGTTCTATTTAATTCTTTTTATTCAAAAGTGCCAGCAAACATCCACTCAAGAAAATTGCCCAGAAAAGAATGTTTGCTACACACCTATAGTAACTGTCATTATCTGGGTGCAGATGAGGCTTTTTTCAAAGAAATGGCCCCATTATCACCTCCTTTAAAGAAACTGGCTCACCTCCCTCTTGGAAGGAGCAATTTATGACTTTTTGGACCCAGCCTGATTTCTCCTCCCTGTAGAGATAAGCCTCTTAATCAGCTGTTGCACTTCTTTTAAATAAATGTGATTGCTATAAATATCTATCCATGATTATTTGAGGAAAGAAGGTGCCCCATGAGCAAAAAAATATCCCAAAATTCTCATTTGTCAATATTATGGCATCAGAACTTGCCTTCTTTATCCATGAGTGAAAGGATAGAGGGAAGCAAACAACTAAGTCAGATGACTGTGAAATCAGAGGACACCAAAGAAAAGAACAACTGAACGGCTTTCCAGTTTGTCACTTTGGCCTTCCCTTCCTGGGCACAAATATCTGCTATGTCAGTTCCCAAAACTGCTGTCATAGCAGCAGGGAGAAATTGGGAGGAAGAAGAGGGAGAATGAGAAGCAGGAGGTTATGTTTCCCATTGACTTAATGCTAAAGATGTGTGAGAATTAGTAGGTTTTGTCCCAGGTGTTTAAAAATAAGATCCTTTTAATTTAATTTTCCAGGTCTTGATTTGTAAAGATTAATTTGCTACCAGTCATATCAACTAATCAAAGGTGAACTCATTTGCACAGAGTATCTGGGGTTTCTTTGTGATGCATGCTTCTTATTGTTAACATGAAGTTAATTATCACCAAAATAAATACAGTAGTTGTTGTGAATACAGTAGGCTATTGCAAGAGAATAATACAAGTTATATCTGTAAAGGGAAGGACATCTAATGCAGCTTGACTGTTCCAGTATGAAGGAGAAAGGAGGCTGGAGCAGATTAAGAATATTAATTTGTTATAACATTTTGCATTGATAGATATAAATATGTGCTAGATATATTGTATGAATGGGCCATTTTCCAGTATCTGAAATAAATCTGAACAAGAGGGCTTATCTGTGCTGGCTCCAGCTCAGTGTATTTTATGAAACACTGTTATTCTAGACATTGCCTATGGGTTACAGCTTTTCATAAAACCTAATGGATTTCTAGATTTCTCAGCTGTTTCAACATAGATGCAGTTTGCTAATCTAATGGAAACATGTTGAGCTCAATTCCAAAATATCAATAGCTTTTAGTATTGTAAATGAATCTGACTGTGGCTCTCGATTAAAAAAAAAAGTAGCGTTCAGTTTTGTATGTGTGTTTTGTGTAAAATGCCTCTCCAGTATTTGATACTTCTATAAATACATATATTTCCTTGCAGAGCTTTAAGCTGAATGTAGATAGCCACTGCGCTTTAAAGGAAGCTGTCGTAGAAGAAGGACGTCAACTTCTTGATCTTATAGTATCTCACAAATCAGGTAAATCTTTCTGAAATATTGCAAGTCTTTATGTCTCCAGACTATTAAAGAATAAAGAAGCATTGCTGTAAATTACTGCATATATTCACTTCCTTATGTATTATTAATATTTACATTATCAGTTTGACCTTCAAGATTTATAAATGTTTCATATACTGCATACAATGCTGTGATACTTATAAAATGAAATACTGCCAGCAAATAGTCTGTTCATTTTATTTTGGTCTTGCTGCTCAGCCGAGTTTCAATTGAAATTACATCACTGAAAACTTCACGCTGACATGTTCTTTGATATAGGTGCTATGGAAATAACATTAAGATGATAAATTAGGATTTCATATCTATACACATATATATTTTTACATAGCCAGCATGAGTAATTGCACTGGGGAAGGCTCCTTTGCCATTTAAGCTAATTCTTACTGCAATTTTAAAGTATTTATTAGGAAAGGTTTTAAAATTAGGAATAGTTATTTCCTTTAGTTACGCTTGTCCTTTTCACTAGGAGCCTTTAACTCAGGATGAATAATAACTTTTGTCATATTGTTGAAACTTGGCGTGGATGCTTTAATAGTATGGTTTTAATCGGGGCACTTTATATTCATAGAAGTACCTGGCTTTATTTTGGCCTGGTTGGAAAGTGTTTGCAGAGGCAGGGGATGGGGATTCAGCTGAAGTTGTCCTGTAGGCTTCAGTGTGATTACGGCTTGAGTTCTTACATCTGCTACTTCTCTACCTGCGCATGTTCCTCTAGAACGTGAAATAGATTCTCCCCTTCCTAAACATTAATGCTATAGTAAATCAGTTAGCGGATTTGCATAATTCCCTGGAGGTTGTAAAATGGTAGCAAGGTCGCAAAAACTCATGACTAATAGGTCATTGCATATTTATCAAGAAGAAGACATTTTAGAAATGGAAAATGAGAGCAACAGCGGCTATATGGCCCGAGGAACAGGCTGAAGTATGGATTTCTCTGCTGTTTCTTCTACATGCAACTCACAGGGTTATGTGTTACTTTATTTCTCTTTGCTGTCCTCAGTCAGAACTTAACATGATGTTTTTGTGTCATGTTTTGACCCTACCATATTGTTGCATTCTCAATAGGTCAGAATCTCTGACTGGATTTCTCAATAAAATGTGCTGAAATACTTAAAGAGAAGGATTTTTAGTTGTTGTCCTTACCCTCAGAGTTCTTTACTGCTCTTTTCTTAAATAATAGTTTTGAAAGTTGAAGATCTATGTAAGACTTCATTTGTTTATCTCATTTCTGGGTAAGGATTGAAGGACATGCTGCAGATGATAGCAAGTCAATGGAAGGAACTACAGAGGCAAATCAAACGACAACACAGCTGGATTCTTAGGGCTCTGGGTATCATCAAAGCAGAGATACTGGCTACTGATGTGTCTGCAGAGGATGAGGAAGGGACTGAGAGCCCCAAGGTAAGTGGCTTGAAGTTTCTCTTATTTCCTCTTATTTCCTCCTCCTTTTGAACTAGGCATCACTGAAGTTTTCTTTCCACCCTAAGGCTCTTCATTTCTGCTGGGTAATTTTTTTCTATAAACAAAATATCCTACTCTGAAACAATACCAAAAAGAAAAAGAAAAAAGATTGCCTGCTTGAAACTTTTTACATTTTCAGAAAGAATTCTTTCTCCCTATATGGAAGACTGCATGGGGACAGGAAAGGGATATAAAATATTTAGTAAACAAAACATAAAGTATCTTTAACATGAATAATCAGAATGGGTTTAAATTGTTTTGTTGCAACTATAAATCACCATAATCAGTGCAATCACTCAGCTCTGACATCCATTAGCCGCTTGGTTACAGCAAATTAACAAAGAAGAGAGAAAGTGATTCATTATCTCATTCCTGTTAATGACTATCAGATGCATTGCCTAATTAGGGAATGGCCATTGCAGTGGGGAGAAGGTCATATGCTTTGCCACAAATCTTTTTTGCTTGGAGTTAAAGCCCTCCATGATGCTGCATGTGTTGAATACATCAAGTACTTTACAAATACTGATATCCATATCTATTTAGTGAGGAATTCCTCTGAAGCATTGAAAGCAACCTGCCTCTTACTGCAATGCTATGATGGAAAGAGGAGTCTTGCTGCAGGGCAAATAAACTTGCTGTGAAGAGAAAATCCGTTAGTTTGGATTCTTGTGCTGTTGTTTTTAAGAGGAACAGAAAGTAGATCCTAAATTGGAGTGGGGAGAAATTTATTCAGTTTGTATTTTCAAACAAAATGAGCTAATTTACACCTTCTGAGCTAATTCACAAACTCTGATTTCTTCAGTTTTTGCACTTCTCCAAATTTTGCAATGTGGTTTTCCAATCAAAAGCTACTTACAAAAATCCATTCATTAGGGAAAATTGCTCACAAAACACACACATTTGGAGAAAAGCACACACAGATATGTGCATATGAATTTTCATTTGACCTTTTACCAGAAAAAAGCAAATTTATGTAGAACTATGCATGGATAAACTTATGCTTCACGGAGTTCTGAAGTTGGCAAAACTAGATTCATTTATCCCGAACCCCAGGGTGCTCTTCAAAGAAAACTTATTGAAGGACATTGGTTTGGAAGTAGCTACTTTGGACAATTTATCATATTTTAATTAGGATGTTGTGTTTTGTTTTGTTTATTCTGCTTTATTGTCAAACTGTCATGAGACCTCAGTAGTGGACAGCATAAAAAAGTTGTTTCTTTTTAGGGGGGAAATCAACGATTTCTTATTTCTCATGTGTAGAAAACCCCACATTTTTTTTTAAATCCTAAATTTGCATGGGAAAAGCAATGTATCTTTCATCATGGTGACATCACATGAACTGCCAAGGCTGTTCATACATTCAGTAGTTGTCCAGCATTGTGTATGAATATTGGCCATAATGCCAGTAAATATAGTTTGAGGAGCTACAAAACCAAAACCAAAAACTCTCTGGGACAATTTCTGAGACTAAACTGCAACAGGAAAAACAGGATAACTAAGAAAACAAGATCATTTCCTGTTCTCATTATATGCATTTAATTACCTAAGTTGCATATTATACTGCATCTTAATCATTAGGAACACCATATGACATAGACACTGAACATAATGTTTCTAGACTTCCCATAAAACTTAAAATCACAAATTTAAGAATGTAACATCATTTAATTTTTAAAAAAAATCAGTGTCAGAATAAACTAATTTTCAGTGTGACCTGTTCCAGTAGGTGAATAACCATTTCAGCTTAAGGACATAAGACTAAGCAAAAGACAAGCTTACCACAAGTCCATGAGTGGAACAGTTGTTAGACTGGAATGCAGAGGTTTGACATTGTGTTGGATTTATTTCTCCATTTGTATATTTTAAACTTTGCAACATAAATATTTCCAGGGCAGGTTGCAACAACAAGATTGCATTTATTTGTTCATTTGTTTAGGAATTCACTATTTGGCCTTTCGTACCCTGAAATGTTTCCCATAAATAAAATGCTGACTGCAACAACTGAAGTTTTTAACAAGTTTCTCTGTAGGCCTGCCCAACAGATTTGTCCTATATTGGGTTATTCTCTGGCTGACTACCAGTCTGTCCTTGTCAGGGTGTTACTTTACTTAAGGAGCATATGAATGTTTAGACATAAGGGATGGGTAATTCTGGAATTTTTAGGACATTTTTATGTCTGAATTTGCATAGAATTGCATCCTGGGCACACTCACCTGGGAGTAAGTCTCACAGAGTTCAATGAGATATAGGTCTGAGTAGAACTATATAGAATTGTGCTCTTGGGATAAAATTCTATACACCTTTACTTGAAAATATGTCTCATTAGTTGAATGCATGTGCACTGAATAGATTTGTAGTTTTGAGAATAACTTTATATGTGAGGATCTTGGTGGAGGACTTTATAGATTAAAGATGTGATATACTGAATAATGTGTTCTGGGTAATAGCTGGAATATTATGGAATTCAGGGCCAAAACAGACAGTTTAAAATGGACCTAGCATCTGGGCTTCACTAGAGTAAAAAGAAGAAGAAATAAATTACCCCTTTCCAATCAAAATTGTAGGTGTGGAGAGGGGGCTGATCTCGCTGCCCACCTTCCATGTTAGGATCTGGATCAGAACCCCTGTGACTGTTCTAAAGAAATTTAAAATCTGGGTTGGGTCTCAATACATTAGTTTCCACTTGAAGGTGGTATGTGTACCAATTGCTTAGTTGTCCTGTAGAGTTAAAACCTTTCAGTTTAATAGAAGGCTATAACTCATTGGAGTTCTATTCATATTATGGAGATGTTGTTGGTGATATAAAAAGACAGTAAGACTCAATTTGACTAGAAATGCACAGGCCTTATTTCAGCCACCCAGGGAGCTTCAGCTAGTAAGTGCTATAGAAATGAAAGAAATGATTAAAAAAAGAGCAAATTCTTCCTCTACACAATGACATTCAACAGAAAAAGCAGTTACTTCTCCAGCTTTTCCTGATTATTACAAGATGAAACAGCTTCTGCTATCACTCACACAGTGTATTCTCATGCTATGATTAAGTGCCCTGCTTACCAGTGTGCTGCTATTGAAGTAAGTGCATATCCAGGTGGTGGTAAGGGATGAGGTGGGAAGACCAGTACCTTTGGTGCAGTGGCAGCATTTCCTTACAGCCTGACACCACTGAGTCAATGGGCCAACAGGTTAGTAGATGTAGGGCTGGAAAGGAGGCAAACCAGAATGGAAAAAGCTACAACCAACCCCCACTAAGGTCCACCTGAGGCCCATAAAGTGAAGTCTCACAGGATGAGATAGGAGCATTGCCACTGCCTGATTCCTCACCCACCCATACCTTGTAGATCTTGCAGTAGATCAGTTGTAGATCTTGCAGTACATAAGAGTTAGTTGCCAGTTATCTGAGCTAGGAAGGGTTGCCTACTTGGCTTCCGACTGGCAAGCAAGTGGGAACAGGGTTTTCATCTTCCTCCATGCAAGATTAGTTCTACTAATAAATAGATTTGTGTATGAGGGCCTGTTCTGGAAGAATTGTGTTGTCTAACCCATGTCTTTGTGGGGCATGATAGGCATTGGGCTGGATCAGTTTGGGAGCTGCGGTGGGGGGGTATCTCTGCCCCATGGTGGCATTCTGTTAAGGATGTGGCACCAAGATCAGGGTGGCTTGGTCGCTGTGAGCTCACCACATGGGGGTGGAGGGAATTGGGTTCATATTAGCGGACTGTGCCATGGTGGAAACCTGACTTTGTCATCTGTCACTAACACTCCTGGCAGGTAAGACCGGAAGGAAAAATAGGCATCAGGCAGGCTGCCCAGTGGTAAGATCCACAGCCTACACCTCCACCAATCCTATTCAAAATGATTAAAGCTTTGGCCTATTTAATAATCTATTGAAGTGGTTTGTCTGCTTTCTTCTCATCCACTGAAAGGACTCAATTAGGTGCTGTGTCACCAACTAATAAATGGCAGACTTGATTGGCAGATCTAGCATAAATTAAGGGTTATGACTTATTTATTTATTTCACTGGGCACACTATTCTATTTCAAAGGGGCAGGGTTGCAATTGACAATTGGATATCATCATATACTGTATGTATTTATTTGTTTATATACCACTTAATGTAATAAAATCCCTAAGCAGTAATGGTCTAGATTAACAAAAGGAATTTAACTTCTTCATTTTCTTCTTGTTCTTCTCTTTGGTGTCTGAGGACACCCTAAGCGCAGAGCAAGCAATTCGAATGCATCTGTAAAAGGAAGGCAAGCTAGAACATGACAGATTTGCTGTTTGTTAATTATCTGTTGAGCCGTTTGCCCTCACTGTCCCATTTCCAAATGAGTGCTACTACTGCCTTCTAGGCTCTATAATATAATACTGACTCTCCAGATTAGTCTGCATAATACTGAAACAAAAACAAGGGAAAAAGCATGCTTCTTAAGTAGGGATGACAGAATTTCATTTGATCTTCATCTTAAGGTGAAGGAGCCTCATTAACAGTTTCCAAACTAATATGCAGATCAGAATAAAGTTATCATTTGAATTTAACAATCGTCTAAATTTTGCAATGGAGTTCTTGGCTCAAAAATTGTGTACAAGCATGTGTATTCGGGAAAGTTGTATATAAAATTGCATATAATAGGAAATATATGTGAATAAATGTGTATATAGAGGAAAGAGGCATACAAAATATTTATGTTATGGAAGTGTTGCATACAAAAAGAAACATAAATTTTCAGGAGATTTAAAAAATCATAGAATAATGTAGAAATTGGATGGAATTGATTTATGTTTAAATATATACAAAACTGACATGGACCAACACAAACTCAGTGGGCTGTATCCAGATTAAATTAGTTTCCCTTAATTCTGAATAAAATTAATGAGATTTAAGTTAATCATGATTATTATTTTACATTGATTTCAATGAGACTTAAATGCAACCATT